ATTAGATCAGACTTGGCTTTCCAGTGGGGTGACCGATTCGGATCTGCGGACAGCAGATCTACCAAACGCTTGTGGCTTGACAGCCACAAATGTCTGCCTACCTCAATGACTTATCAGCATCAATGTTATACCGCATCCCATTTTGTTACGATTGCTTATCAGGGTGACGCTGTTGAAAATCAGCATTGTTGTATGACCATAATGGTCCACCTCCTGAGGGTAGGGAGTAACTATACTCTACCTCAGGAGGCGATACTGTAAATGTCTTACAGTTAGCGTTCCACGGTCGCCACCTTCTTATGCATCATGCGGCGCCAGGCGATGACCATAATGACCATCCTGAGCATCCTCGTATTTCTGCCTGCATTTTGCACAGACCCGGCCATTATATGGCACTCGTTCGTGCAGCTGCCCTGTGGGAACTGTGGGATGGTGGGACGATGATTCAGGCTAGTTTCAACATGAATGAATTTTTGCGTGCATTGCCGAATCATACTTTATTCTGGATTATTGACCGACTCTCGTGTGACACCTGTCGGGACAGAGACGCGGTGCGCCATCTTTGCCATCACAATTATCAATCTATTGTGGCCGCCGCCGTCTGTGCCGAAGGGTGTCCAACATTTCCTCATTGTACACATTCCTATCACCCAGATATTCGTTGTCCCTTTTGTGCGCAAGGACGCTATCAGAACTGCATGATGCCGCACTGTGATGAACGTCCTCCTGTTTTTTTGACATGTGGACAGCATGTCCTTTGTCAGGACTGTTTTTTTATGGGATGGTCCGTGCTAGCCGTCCTGCTGAATGCTGGGCTGGCGCAGCTTTCCTTGGGTATCCTTGTGAACATCCACGTCATCCTCAGTGTGTGCCTGTCCTATCTGCCGGGGTGGGGGCTTCTCTTCCTGATTGGCCAATAGAATCAAGCAGGTCAGGAGCAACACCAATTGTAGGACAGATAAAGCTTTCGACACTACCAACAGATACGGAGTTGAAGAAAGAAAGAAAAAATTGAAAAAACGAAAAGAAAAAAAAGAAAAAAAGAGAAAAAGGAAAAAAGAACAAATTGCTCAAGAAAAGAAAAAAGAAAACAAGAAAAAAGAAAACAAGAAAAAAAGAAAAAATAATAATATGTTGAACTTCGTTGTGACAGTGGCAATATCTGTGGGATGTGTCATTTGCCCTTCGACTGATAGGCCTTCCTCGTCCCTTGTCCTTTCTTTCATTGGATCCCTTTCTCTTTCTCTTGCCTCTGTAAGGTCTGGTTTCCTCCTCCTTTTCTTTACCTCTTTACCTTTTGGCTGCGTGCAAGTGGGTCCTTGTGACACACAGGGATGGGGGCAGCCAGCGCTCAACCTGTCATCCACGTGGCTGGCCTTGTACGTAAGAGGTGATGAACAGGCGGGGCTTTCCTTCCTTCTTTTCTTTTCCTTTTTTGTTTTGTCTTTTTCTGCCTTTGCGCTCCGATTCACAGTGTGACTATATATATCGTCAAACAGAGTATATATATATTCTATTTGTGACGATATATATTGTGACGATATATATAAAACTTATATGTCGTCGCTGTGTTCTCTCATCCGTGCAGTAGAGCAGTGATTGCAAGTCAATCCATCAATCGATGCAGGTGAAGGTCGATCCATGAATTACCAAAACAAGTCTCACAAAAAAAAAAGAAAAATATAAAACATATATAATGAAAGAGAAAAAAAAGGAATCTTATAATAAACGACAAAAAAAAAGAATCTTGTAAAATAAATCTGTTTCAAATCAATGAAGTCCATCCAACCAAGCCACGTTGGTTTTGAAATCAGTAATCAGTTTTGACGGATGGATTGATTGTTTAATGGAAGAATTGATTATTTAAAAGGATTGGTTAGTGAGAAGAAGAAAGAGAAAAGGATCCAGTCTTATGCCATTTCCCCTTTGTTTTCCTGTTCTTTCTGGATTTGCTTTTCCATTGGAACTACCACCATTTCGACCTAGCCGTTGTTGTTTTTTGTGTGTGGGAACCTTTTTCTTTTTGGGCATTTCTTCTTTCGTCTTTTCTTTTTGATTCGTTCCCTCGTTTTCGAGTCTGATGGGGCTTACCGCGTAAATTGGAGCTATTGCAAGAACACAAGCCGTCAAAAAGGTTCAGAAAATTTCAGACTCCTGACACTTTGTTGTGACATTCCTTGTCAGCAAGTTGTTACGAGATGGACCTGACTCGGGAAGACTGATCCTCGTAGCGTAGTTCATTGCAGCTGGGCTTATGGATGGGCGATTGATTCGCGTCATAATACTGCACCACTGCCACGTGCCCGGTCCCACCACATGTCCTCACCACGTGTCCCGCCATGTGTTCGGCCACATGTCCCACCACGTGTCTGGCCACTTGTCCCGCCATGTGTCTCGCCATGTGACCCACCATGTGTCCCGCCACGTGTCCTCCATGTCTCCCACCACGTGTCCCAGTACGTACCATGCCTTTGTCATGCCATTGACTTGCAAGTGTCAAACCACGTGCCATGCCAGTGCCATGTGACGCATCGTGCCACGTGTTGTGCCACATGTGATGCAATGTATGATGCCATGTGTCTTGTGGGTTGTGGCACTTGTCGTGCCACTTGTCATGTCACATGTCATGCCACGTGACTCTCAAGTAACCATCAGAGTGGTAGGTTAGAATGACGCCTTCCGGTCATTGTGGAAATGGCCCTTTGGCGAGTTTGCAAATGCCAGAATGCCCGTCTCAGACGTAGTTGGATGTCTATACTTTGAAAAAGAGTGTGTATCATGCACCTTGCTGAGCCCGATTGCAGGTATTGTCTTTTTTTTTGGATCATTTCTCGATTTATGCGTGGTATCCTTGTGCCGGGGCATGGCAAATTCCAATTTTACGGGATGTCCCGAAGAACAGTGTGGGTACCGTCTGACAGGGTTGCTGTGGCTAGTGCAAAATTAACGAGCCCTATGTTCGGTATTTTTTCGTGAAAGAAATTGGTTTGACATTCCAGCACAGCCACCATGAAACTAGCGTAGTTTCAAAGTTGCGTTAAAAAATAAAAGTGAAAAAAAAATCATGTTTTGGAATTTGCATTTGTTTTCAACGTTCTTGGAAGAAGATGATTCATTTTGGTAAATGAACTGCAAGCATGTCTTGTTCGGAAGCACCAGGTCAGGAGTTGAGGGTTTAGGGTTTAGGGTTTTCTGGCAATAGATGCGTAATTCCTCTTGGCGTAATTCCTCTTGGCATACTCTTTTGGTAAGGGAAGTAGAAGCTTTTGAAGAAACTGTGAACTCATGATCTATTCGTCAACAGTACATGTGTGTAGCAGTGTATACCAACCAGCGAGAAGGCAGGTGCAGTCTGCTCAGCATAGTTACTGACTGCTATGGAAAATGAGCGCGACGAACTTTGCAATCATATAGAGGTTTCAGGCTGCTGTTGAGTCGGTGAAACTCCGACGAAACAGTCTGTCACAGCTAGCCGTTTCTTGTCCTTCCCTCCCTTTCTGCCTACTGTTCACTGGGCAGTTTTCAATGACCATATATGTGTATTTATTCACTCGTTGAGAGAGAGAGAGAGAGAGAGAGAGAGAGAGAGAGAGAGAGAGAGAGAGAGAGAG